TTTTTTTTTTTTTTTCATTGAAAACATTTTTGGAAAGACAAGATAAGCCATGTTTAAAAGCAAGCAAATAACATGTGGTGGTGCATGCCTGTAATTCCAGCACTCTGAGAAGCTGAGATAGGAGGATAACAGATTTGAGGTCAGTCTCAGCAATTTACCAATTCAGCGAGACCCTGTTTGGAAAAAAATTTTTTTAAGGGTTGGGAAAGTAGCTCATTGGAAAGGCCCTGGGTTTAAGCTTCAGTATCACAAAACAGCTAAACAACAGAAAACCCTTAAAAGCGTCAGTCAGAGATTATAGTTAACATCTCAGTGTCTCTTTCTCTGTACAGTTTGGTTATGAACCTAGGCAAGTATATCCTATTAACAAACATAGTGTCATCATATATATACTTTCTGGGCCCCGACTCCCCCTGCCCTTGATTAACAATAAAACAAGTAAGAATAGAGCTCCATTATCCTTTTTTTCTTTTTTTTTCTTTTTTTTTTGTTTTTTTTTGTTTTTTTTTTCCGGTACTGGGAATTGAACTCACAACCTCATGCTTGCCAGGCAGGTGCTGTGCTGCTGAGCTAAATCCCCAGTCCCTCCATTACCCTTTTATTTGGGTCCTGATTTGGTTTGTTTTATGAGGTGGGGAGGGTTGGTTTTGGTTTCGGTTTTTCGAGACGGGGTCTCTCTCTTAGTACAAGCTGGTCTTGAACTCCCTGTGGAGCCCAGGCTGGCCTCAAACTCATGGCAATATTCCTGCCTCCGCCTCCTGAGTAAAGGGATTATAGGCATGCACCACCAGGTCTGGACCCATCGTCCTTTTTAATGACTGGATGGGATTCCGTGGCCCAGACAGGGCAGGACTTCTCACCTGTCTCACTGCTCCCTGTTAGAGAACTCTAAGGCTCTTCTTATTTTTGTTTATGAATAACACTATGATAAGGAAAGTTTGCATTTTTTTTTTTGGATACTGGGAATCAAACTCAGGACCTTCTGCTTGCCAGGCAGGCACTTGTGTGGCACTATACATGGCTATATCATGGCTTGCATACGTTTTTGTATTTATTTTTATTTTTATTTTTTTATTTTTGTCTTTTTGAGAGAGGGTCTCGCTATGCAGTTCAGGCTAGCCTTGAGCTCACTTTGTAGCTCAGGCTGGTCTCGAACTCCCAACGATGCCTCAGCCTCCCAAGTGCTGGGATTACAGGCATGTGCCGCCATGCCCGGCGATTGCATATGTTTTTTACACATGTGCTGCCATATATTTTTAGTATCTATAGCTAGATTTCATTGCCACTTCAAATAGTATAGAAACACAGAGCTTTAAAAATGCTTTCCAGAAAGCTTGCCCGCTGATACCCGGGGGATTCAAGGAGAACGCACCACCTCCCACCCTCAAGCGCTGGGTATCACGAGTTTTTAAAGATATGGGCAATGTGGTAGGTGGGAAAAAAATGAGACTTGCGCTGATCACTCCTGGCTTTGAATATTTTCCCAAGTGTTTATTTCTTCTGCTGTAAATTTCCTTTTCGTCATCTTAACTGGTTCTGGCTCAGGCCTCTTGTGAAGCCGCAGTGCAGAGGTCATCTGAGGCTGCCGTCAGCTTAAGGCTCTATGGGGGCTGGAGAATCCCTTCCACAGCGGCTCACTCACTGGCCGGGGGCAGGAGGCTTCGGTTCAGCTCCATGTGGATCCCCAGGGAGACTCGGGGCTGCTGTGTGTCCTCAGGACACCCAGTTAACTTCCACAGGGCAAGTGAGCCAAGAAAGAGCAAGGAGCAAGCCATGATTCCTTATTTTATTTTATTTATTTATTTATTTTTTTGGTGCTGGGTGTTGAACCCAGGGCCTTGGGCAAGGCTGACCATGTTCTCTACCACCAAGCTATACGCGCAGCCCCATGATTTCTTTTATGTTCTAGCCCCACACTTTCCCTTCTGCCATGTTCTGCTCATTAGAATCCAGTCACAGCTGGGAGTGGTGGCACATGCCTATAATCCCAGCACTCGGGAGGCTGAGGCAGGAGGACTGTTGTGGGTTCGAGACCAGCCTGGGCTACAAAGTAAGCTCAAGGCTAGCCTGAACTGCATAGCGAGACCCTGTCTCAAAAAGACAAAAAAAAAAAAAAAAATAGAATCCAGTCACTAATTCCAGCAACATTCAAGGAATTGGTAACTGGGCCCCACCTATTGGAGAGGGAAACTATTAAAGATTTTGAGTACATATTTTAAAGCAGTCACAATAACACTAGGAATAGATCCTCCTTTCCTAGATCACTGAGTACACATTGCCCCTTTCCCTGCCTTTTTTCTTATCTTTGAGACAGCATTCTATTGTATGTAGTGCAAGCCAACCTTGAACTCACTATGTAGCCCAGGCTGGCCTTAAACTCACAGTCCTCCTGCCTCCATTCCTAAGTGCTGGGATTACAAATGTACAACACTGTAGCTAGCTCATCACCCCCTTTTCCTCCACAGGGTGCCGTGAGTGTCTGGGACACTCACTATAGCATCCTGTCCACAGTGCCAGGCACAAGGCAGACGTTTGCTAGCACTTGTTTACCCCACTGAATAGGAATAAAGTTGACCATTGCTAGAACCTTGCTGCCGGTTCTCCGTGTGTGCCCTCTGTCCCTGTGCCTCTGTCCTGGACCCAGATTAATTTGTTAAGAAGTTAATTAATTAAAAGTATACAACCTTAAACATTCAGCTCCTTCTTCACACCGCCCACTACCAGTGCCAGGGACCAGCGGCCACCATTTTGGATGGTGTGTGGATGGAAATTTCCATCGTCAGAGAGTTCTACTGGGTGGCTGGGCCAGGGAGAGGGTGGAAATGACCTTTTGATTGTCGCCCCCTTTCAGTGGAAGATCAGGCATGATACCTTTGTAGTGTCCTGTAAATATTCCCCGGATGGGAAATACGTGGTCTCGGCCTTGGATATAGATCATGGAATCTACATAATGGACGCAGAAAACATCAGCAATGTGACATACATTGAAGGTGAGATCACCCGGGCCCCAGCTAGGTCTTGCCTCCATGGGAGCACTTGCTTGTCACTTGAGCAACAGTAACTGCTGACTGCTTTGCTTGGTGAAGGCTGGGGCACTGGGAAAAGCACAGTTTAGACCAAGCCTGATCCTCTTTGGTTAATGCTTTTCATTTCAGTCTTGTGTTTATAACAAATGAAGCGATGTTCCCGTCCAGCCGCACATGCACATAGGCTCAGCCTTCTCCATATTTCTACCTGGCTTTATTCATTTATGATGCTGGGGATGCAGCCCAGCACCTTCACACTAAGCTACATGCCCACCCCTTTCATTTTGAGACAAGGTTTCCCTAAGCTGCCCAAGCAGGACTCGAACTTGTGATCCTCCTGCCTTAGCCCCTGCAAAGTGCCAGGATTACATGCAAGCACCGCTGCGTCCAGCTTCTACCTGTATTGATAGAATATAAATATTCTATATTTATAGAATATAAAAATACAGAATATAAAATATTAAAATATTTTCTAGAAAATAAAAATAATAACCACATACAAAATACCCAGCATGTATGAATTCCCTGGCGGTGATACTGCAGCATCACGATGCTACCACATGGGAAGCTGGGCGGAAGTCGCGAGGGGTTTCCCTGCGCTGCTTCCTCCACCTGTGTGCAGGGCTGCAATTGTCTAAAAAGGCAAATTTTTTAAAAATGCAGTTATTGTTTAAAATTTTTCCGTATGTAAAGAGTGCTAGGCTGCTGTATCTGTCCCTTCCTAAAAGGTGTCTTTTATCATTATTATTATTATAATTATTATTTTGGGTGCCGGGATCCATCCCAGGACCATGAGCACACTAGGCAGATGCTCTGCCACTGAGCTGAATCTCTAGTCCAGACATACTTGTTATTAGTTATTATTATTATTATTATTTTGTGGTGCTGAAGATTGACCCCAATGCCTTCGCACTGAGCTACTGAGCCCCAGCACCTCACACCTTTAAAAAAGTTTTTTGAGGATTGGGATTTAACTCTGCAGTAGAGCACTTGCCTAGCAAGCACAGGGCCCTGGGTTTGATCCTCAGCACCAAAGAGACAGAGAGAGAGAGAGAGAGAGGGAGAGGGAGAGGGAAAGAGACAGGGAGAAGAAAGAAAAAGGGAAGGGAAGGGGGAAGGGGAAAAGAGGAGGGAAGGAAGGGAAGGGAAAGGAAGGAAATTTGAGACAGGATTTCCCTAAATTGCTAAGTTGTCCAGACAGACTGGGCTCGCAATTATGATCTTCCTGCCTCAGCCTCCCATGGTGCTGGCATTACAGGTGTGTGCCCCGACGCCTGGCTAGAGGTGTCCATTATTAACAATACATTTCACAGGGGCCTTCCTGAACTGCATGTGACGACTTCCCATGTGTCCTTTCTATTTCCTTTTACCAACCTGTTACCATGACAGGAGCACTGCCCACAGCTCGCTTTGCCCCCCTAATGGATCACCTCACACTCTGCCTCTCCTCCACTCCGAATTCCAGCTGTGCACCGTGCTTTGGGCTCAGTCCACCCGCCAGGCCTCTGCATGTGCTGTTCCTTCTGCCAGGGGCACACTTCTTTTCCTGCCTGATGACTTTTAGGGCCCTTGAGGGCCCAGGGGAGGCATGCTGGGCCTAGGTGAGCCGTGCAGTACCCTCACGGCCCTCTCATGTGGCGGGTGCTGCCTGCTCAAGGGCATCTCTCCCGTCGTGCAGAAAGCAGGTCAGCTGGGTTAGGGTTCCAAGCCTGGCTCGAGGTAGGCACTCAGGAAACGTGCGTGCAGGTGCGCAGTCGCTTATGAGAACTGGAGCTGCATCTCCGTGCTATCAGTGGCTGAGTGGCCCGGAGTGTGGCCCTCATGGTAACAAACCACTTTCCTGTGCTGCAGGCCATCACAGAAGGTCGATCATGGCATGCTGCTTTGACCCGGACAGCCAGAGGGTGGCTTCCGTCTCGTTGGACAGGTGCATCAAGATCTGGGATGTCACCTCCCAGGCCACGCTGCTCACCATCCCCAGGTGAGAAGGGTCCCAGAGGCCAGCAGCATCCTGCAGCAGCAAGGTGGATGGGACGCCTCCTTCCGCACCCTCCCAGAGTCTGCCTGCAGGCGGGGGTCCCTGCGGCGGTGTCTCCAGTGTGTCTCGGGCGCTCCAAGAGGACAGAGAGCCGGGCAGGGAGAAGCTGCCAGCTGCGGCCTGCACACTGGGCTGGGCCCCAGATGCACTTGTCACGGTGCGAGTCCACTCTGGAAAACAGTGCAGAGCCCTCATCAACATGTGAATTCCAGCGGGCCTGGCGGTGCCCACCTGCAGTCCCAGCCTCTGGGAGGCCAAGGAGGAAGATGTGAGTTCGAGCACAGCCTAGGCAGTGTGGTGATACAGTGTCTCAAAATAAAAAGAGGACGGGGTGCAGCTCAGTTCAAAGGCCCTGGGTTCAACCCCCTGTCTACCCTCCTCCCCCACCACATACACAAAGTGAATTTCCAGCCTCTCCTGTAAAACAGGTTCCCTAGTCAACGGCCACCACCAGATGGGGCCAGCCCTCAGCACCGGGCCCTGTATCAGGATCCCACCCTGAGCTGCTCCTGTCACCCTGCCTGCTCTGCTCCATTCCTGCTGCCGGGCCAGCTTCCCCTGGTGGCCTGGTCAGGCATAGAGAGGATGTGGCTTCCCATTCTGGGTGACCTGGGGCCTCAGTTTCCTCCCTGCAGGCAGAGCAGAGGTGAGGTCTGAACAAGATAACACAGGCCCGGCGTGTGCTGTTCATGAAGCCGAGTTTAGGGGGCCGTGGGGGACCCCTCTGCGCTGCTTCTCAGAGGCGCTCCAGGGTGGCGGTGAGGCGGGTGAGGGCAGCAGAGGCAACCAAGCTCCAGCTGTGGGCACACCAGCCCACCCTCCCCTGCTGTCCTAGTGGACATGGTGGTGGGAGAGGGAAATAAGCAAAGCATCTCCTGGTAGTTTTGCTTCATCTTAAATTGACTGTCTGTAAATACACCACTTATTATTTGTTTATTTCTGTTGGTTTGGCTTTTCGAGACAGGGTCTCACTATGTACCCAGCCTGGCCTTGAACTTACGGAAGATACAGAAATCTCAATTACCAGATCTTTTCTTCCGTGCTTAAGAGCTGCCCTGTCATTTCCCTCTGGCCTCCCTGGTCCCTGATGTGCCACCTGCCATCACACAAATTGTTTTCTCCCCTTGATAAGGTGCCATTCCTCACTCTGGCTGCTTTCAGGATTTTTTTCTTTATCTTTGGTTTTCAGAAGTCTAATTCTGATGTGTCTGAGTATGCATTTCTTTGGATTGATCCTGTTTGGAGTTTACTCAGAACCTTGAATATGTAGGTATATATTTTTTGCACAAGGTGGTAAAATTTTAGCCATTATTTCTTCAATTTTTTTTTTTTTTTTGGTCTTTTTTGAGACAGGGTCTCGCTATGCAGTTCAGGCTGGCCTTGAGCTCACTTTGTCGCCCAGGCTGGTCTTGAACTTGCAAATGATCTTCCTGCCTCAGCCTCCTGAGTGCTGGGATTACAGGCATGCACCACCACGCCTGGCTCTTCAATTATTTTTTGAGGCCTCCCTTCTCCCCCATGTTTTGGTTTTTTGAGGCAGGGTCTCAATATGCAGCCCAGGCTGGCCTTAACTTTGGGGTGATCCTCCTGCCTCAGCCTCCTAAGTGCTGGGATTATGCAGCTCTTTTGTGCCTTCTTTCTCTGCCCCGGTACGGTACCTCTGATGGCATAAGTGGTAAATCTTTTGTCATAGTCATGTAAATGTCTAGGCTCTGTTTTCTCTCATTTGTTCAGCTAAGCTAATTTGTCTGGTTCTGCCTTCACGTTCACTAATTCTTCCACTGCTCTCTCCACTCTGCTGCTGAGTCACCCAAGCAACGTTTTCAATCAGCTATTGTGTTTTTCACTTCAAAAATTTCCATTGGCTTCTTCTTATACGTTTTATTTCTTCACTGAAGTTTTCTAACTTCTTGTTCCAAGCATGATTCATAATAATTGTCCTGTGAGCACTTTTATAACGATTGCTTAAAAATCCTGGCCAAACCTAGGTATGGCAGCACATACCTATAATCCCAGCACTCAGGAGGCCGAGGCAGGAGGGTCACTGAGAGTTCCAGGCCAACCTGGGCGACACAGTGAGTTCAAGGCTGGTCTGAACTACATAGAGAGACCCTGTCTCAAAAAAAAAAATTCGTGGCCAGGTTGCCCACCAGACACCAAGGCTCAGGGAATTTGTCCCGGGCACCTCTGAGGAGCTGACATTGTTTTTTCACCTTGCTCAGCTTGTGCCTTTTAGTGAACTGAAATGGGGTTCGACGCTCTGACCTGAGCTCTGGAAAACGATTTTGCTCAGCGCTTTCTTCCGGTGAAATGGCTGATTTGGCACAGAGATGCACGGACTTATTTATGGTGTCACCCGAACCTCTGTCAGATGAAATAAGAATCTCAGGGGAAATATTGAGGCTCACAAACACAACAAAAAGTGGCTGAAATCTGATAGATTTTTTTCTTTTCAAGGAAAGATAGTTTAAAATCAAGTGTAGATACCCCAAACCTTTGTTAATAAACATAGAACATTATTCTGCGCTGTAATGGCACCGAAGACAGATGAGGAGAGGTGGGGGAAAAGGGAGAGAGCGCTGGTGTGGAAAAATAAGGACAGTGAGTGAGAAAGAAGTGGGACGGGGACACAGCAGTGGGACGTGGGGAGAAGGAGCCAGGCCCAGCATCACAGGGAGGAAGGAGGAGGAGAGGGACAACCTCTCAGTAAGTGGAGCCAGCACGGAGCTGAACAGCTGTCAGTCCATTCACCACCAAGGATGGCTTTTCAGGTGTTTTTTCCCTCAGGCCACAAGTGGCTTTTGAACTTTCAATGCTTCAAATGGGGGCAGTTTTGTTCCCCAGCGGACATTCGGCAATGACTGGGGACAGTTTGGTTCGTCTAAGTGGGTTATGACAGGAGCTACTGGAATTTAGCTGACAGAGGCCAGGGACACCGATAAGCACCCTCCGTTCTACAGGGCGGACCTCCACAACGAAGATTTATCCAGCACAGAATGTCAACACTCAGGTGGCTGAGAAATCCCGGCGTAGTGTGCCACAGCCTGAGCAATTCATGTCTGCACCGCGGTGGATCAGAGGACTGATGTCCATTTGCTCACAGGAGATGGTGGCCGCGTCCGGCTTCCTCCCCTCTTCTAGGGAGCAGACTTCTCTGATGCCCGAGGCGCTAACACGCCCCCTGTCTGTATTTCAGGGCGCACGACAGCGGCATCTCGAACTGCTGTTTTACCTTCAGTGGCCATTTCCTGTGTACAGCCTCCTGGGATAAGACCTTGAGAATATGGAACATCTACACGGGGGACTTTCGAAACCGCGGCGCCTGTGTGACCCTGATGCGGGGCCACGAAGGCTCCGTGAGCTCCTGCTGCTTTGCCAGAGACAGTGAGTGATGAACACGCGCCAGCCCGTGTTCTCAAAGGGCGCCGGGCAGAGTTCTTCCTATTCCATGCGTACGGACTTTGCTAATGTCAGAGAGGCAATCTCCAGGGATGAGGGGGGATTTTTCTTTTTTTTGCCATGAGGTCAAAAAAACTCATAGGCTCAATTTTGTTTATAATGGAAACTCAGCTCAGTGTAGTTTAAGCAACAAAGCTCCAGCCCCACCATTTTTGTGCTTTTGGTTAGTAGTTTTGCTGTTTGAAATGGGTCTCACGCACAGTGCGGAAGTGCTGTCCAGTGTTCCTAAGTGCAAGAACTCTGTGATGGACCTAACGGAGAAAACGCTCACGTTAGGTACACTTGAGTTCAGGCAATAGCCTTAGTGCTGTTGGCTATGAGTTCAGTGCTAATGAATCAGTGTCAGTGAGTGTGTGCGTGTGTGTGTGTGTGTGTGTGCTTAAACAGAAACACTCATAAAACAAGCTTATGTACTGGTGAATTGATGAACCGGTGACCAGAGGCTCTGGGGACCCTAACCCTGCATTTCCCCAGGAGCAATGGTTCCGCATTTGCTAGCCCAACACCCATAACATCTATGGGCCCTAACTACCATGCATGATGAGAGCCTGCTGTGATTGGCTGGGGGTCACCGAGCCCCCCAGGAAGGTTTCAGGGTGGTCAGCGTGAGCCACCGTGCCCTCACCGAGGAGGACGTCCCCCCACACACACCCAGACTCTCCCGTGCTGTTGCAGGCTCTTTTCTCATTTCCGGAGGCTTCGACAAGACCGTGGCCATCTGGGACGTGGCAGAAGGCTACCGGAAGCTGTCCCTGAAGGTACGGAGGGCAGCGTCAGATAGATCTGAGCTGTGCTCCTGGGTCCCTCTGAGCCGTGTCCGAAGCTGGCCACACAGCAGCCAGACAGGCCTGGTGCCTCCTAAGGGAGCTGGCGCCCTGTAGGCAAGACAGCCGAGAACCAGCAGCGGATCCCGACAGTGTGAGGGGTGGAGAAACCAAACCAGGGGACAGGATAGAAACAGACTCAGGACCGCCCCGTGGCGGTGGGCAGGGACGGCTTCTCCGGGATGGAGGCGCTCGCCTCGGGCGGAGCAGCAGGGCACTGCGATCAGTGGAACAGCAAGGGCACCCCCAGGGGCGGAAGCGTCCCGACAGCAGGACAGCAGCCGTGCAGGGGAAGAGATGTCACAAGAGGCGTGGACAGCCGGGAGCTCCAGGATGGGGGCTGTCAGCTGAGTGCTCCCGGCTGGAAGTTAAGAGACCCAACTCGGAGTGGCTCTGCAGTTAGAGACGCATTACCCAACAGGGCGGAATCCAAGGTTGGGTCACTCGCTGCCCCTGTTCCGGGGACCCTGTACCCATGACTTCTGCATGTTCCCTGATCCTTGCCTTTATCTGTCAGTGCTCCCCCGCACAAGACTCTTTTTGTTTTTTTGTGTTTTGTTGTGTTTTGTTTTTTCTCCGGTACCGGGAACCGAACTCACGACCTTGCACTTGCCAGGCAGGCGCTTTTGCCGCTGAGCTAAATCCCCAGCCCCTCCCCAACAAGACACTTGATCTCCGTGTCCCCACAGCCCCAAGCCGAGACCCTGCCTCCTTGAGCAGCACACGCCCAGGGCCATGGGCCAGTCTGTCTCCATCTAGGGTTTGAGAGTGCAAACAAAACTTACCTCCCAGCAAATAAGCAGCCTAAGATTGAATGTTAAATCCCCGGTGGTGAGAAACCCTTTTGCCCCTATCAGGTTGTTCTCATTTCTCTCCCCCTTTTCTCGGCTCTCCTCGAATTCCTTTTTGTTGTACGCGGCAGCCTAACCTCTCTTGCTCCCTGCCTTCCTACCACACCTGTTGCCTCGCCTTCCCCCTCTGTCCGTAAGGGAAAGGCCAGAGGGTGACAAAGCTGCTGACGCAGACATCATGAAGCCGTGCCAGCCCCCACCATCTGCCCAGCCACCATGGGTCACAGTGGTTTGCCGTTAATGTGAAGCCAAAAGCCCCCTCACCGCTAGGACCTCGGGGTGGTATTTCCTGTAACACAGAGCGCCAACAGAAGCTTGCGACCAGATGGGAATATAATCCTGTATGTCCGTCTACCCTTCTGAACATCACAGAACCGTTTTTAAAAACATACAGTACCGCAATAAACATATATATCACCAGTCTTTATAGTATGTATTCTGCCTTACATGTTGAGGAAACAGGAAGTACAGTTATTGGTTTTAAAGGGAAGCAACATTGGGTTCTAACTTCGCTTCTGTTGCTTTGATAAAGGTACTTTCTCTGAGGATCCTTGTTAAATTTTTATTTTTCTTCAGGGCCATGATGACTGGGTGATGGATGTTGCTGTCAGTAATGACAAGAAATGGATTCTGTCTGCTTCAAAGGTAAACGTGCCCTTGCTTTGAGTGACTTACAGTGTCCATCAGATTTGTCAGACTTGGTGAGTGCTGGAGAATTACTCCCGAGTCTCAAATTCCTGGGGAGGCTCGGCGTGATGCTTGGGCCCCGGAGCCGCCTGGGAAAGAGGAAAGTGAGTCTTTCCATCTGCGGGTGTGGGAGTGGCCAGGTATTTCTGCATTTGAGCATTTCTGCGTTTGTTGGAGAAAGAGGCTGTCAGACAGGTGTGGAGGAGCTGACAAGGGGCTCGGAGGGCAGGTGCCACACACAGAGGAGCAGTAGAGACTGCCCGAGGCCCAGGTGGGCCTGCCCTCCCCTCTGCACCAGTGCATCTTGGGATCCCATTTTGGTGGCTCAGAACGGCTCACCATGGATATCCTAAGGACTATTCTTCAAGCAGGAACATCGAGAAGTGGGGTCCCACCTTACCTTTATCAGAACATTTAATTCTCCAGGGTGGAGGTTTATAGGCCTCTGAGAGTATGGGCAAGACTGCCTAACATCACCAGCCCTCTAGAGAGGCAGCCTGGGATACACATAGCTCAGACTGAAAGCCCATAATAAGTTGGGCATGGTGCATGCCTGTAATGCCAGCACTCAGGAGGCTGAGGCAGGAGGATCACTGTGAGTTCAAGGCCAGCCTGAACTGCATAGTGAAACCCTGTCTCAAAAAGACAAAAACAAAAGCCCATAATAATATAATATGTAAGAAAAAGTATAGGGCCTTAGGTTATTGCTTTAATATAAAAATAGAAAAAGTGAGTGTTTACTTGAAATTATATATTTTTCTGTACTTTTTTACTTTTCTGCTACATGGATACTATTATTTAAACAAAATAAAAGTTTTGACTACAGGTAGTGGTAATGATGACACAATGTTGTGAATATATTTAATGTCTCTAAATTGTGCACTTATGAGTGCTTAACATAAGAAATATGTCATGTACTTTTTCAAATCTTTTTGAGACAAGGTCTCACTGTGTAGCCCAGGCTGGCCTTGAACTCACAGTGATCCTCCTGCCTCAGCCTCCTGAGTGCTGGCATTACAAGCGTGCACCACACCCAGCTTGTCATGTACATTTTGCCACAACAGCAAACCTCCCAACGGTGATGAATTTCTTTATTTTTTTGTTTTGTTTTGTTTTGCTTTGTTTTGTTTTGTTTTTTGAGACAGGGTCTCACTATGCAGTTCAGGCTGGCCTTGAGCTTACTTTGCAGCCCAGGCTGGTCTTGAACTTGCAACGATCCTCCTGCCTCAGCTTCCCACATGTTGGGACTACAGGCATGTGCCACCATGCCGGCAATGTGATGAATTTCTTTCTGACCTAATATAGTAAATTATTTTTACTTCTCCATTTCTTTTTCCAGTAGTTTTCTGAAGTTCCTGTAGCTCATAGGACATCCTTTTCTTTTATACAGTGGTAAAAAAGTATACTGTCAAATGTGACATCCACTTTGACTTGTAGCTCTGTTCTTATCATGCACACATGATTTCTGGCTAAAGTTAAGTCTTTTTTTAGGGGTGACAAATTCTCACTATGCAGTTCAGGCTGGTCTTGAACTCACTATGTAGCCCAGGATGGCCTTGAACTCCTGGTACTCCTCTTGCCTCAGCCTCCCAAATGCTGGGATTATAGATGTGCTCCACCACACCTGGCTTTTATTGTTTGATTTCTTGATGGTAGCCATTTTTTCTAGAGTAAGATGAAATCTCAGTGTTGTTTTAACTTGCATTTCTCTAATAGCCAGTGATGTTGAATATTTTTTTTCATATATTTACTGGCTATTTGTACTTCTTCTGAGAAGTGTCTATTCATTTCAGTTGCCCATTTTTTTATTATTTCTTTCATTTTTGAGGGTTTAATTCCAGTGTAGTAGTTTTGCTATAATAAATTATCATAGATTGCACTGTTTAAACATAAAACAACACAAACTTAATATCCCACAGTTCCAGAGGGTAGAAGTCCAGCAATGTCTCACTGTGCTAAGACCAAGGTATCCAGAAGACTCTATTCCTTTCTGGAACTATTATTACCTAAACTCCATAATTCACACCACTTCACTCTTTATTTTTTAGGTTCTATGAGTTTTGCCAAATGCATGCCATGCCTCCACCATGTTAGCAGCACACAGAATACAGAGGTGCCTCGGTTCACCAAATTAATTCTTTCCATGATTCTGATCAGGGAATTCGAGTTAACTTCATGAATCGAGGTACCACTGTAATTTTACTGCCCTAAAAATACCTTGGGCCCCATCTATTTGTTCCTCATCCTCTTCCTCAGGACCTTGACAACCACTGACCTTTTTATTATCTCTATAGTTTTTCCTTTTCCAGAATGTCTTAGAGTTGGAGTTAGACAGTCTGCAGCCTTTTCAGATTGACTTCTTTTGCTTAACATGCATGGAAGGTACTTCTGTGTCATTTTGTGGCGTGATAACTGTGGGGCACTCAATGTTATTCCAGTGTATGGATGTACCATGAACTTTTTCCTGATCAATGTTTTACTGTTCGCCTTGTTTTAGGATAGGACCATGAGACTATGGGATATTGAAGAAATTGACCAAATTCCTTTGGTAATCAAGTACAAAAAGAGCATGGGTTTAAAGGTGAAACAGGTTGGTACTAGGTAAAATTAAGCCCAGTGAAGACTTGCATTGGTCCACCACAAATGAATTTATTCTTTGAACAAACATTTATTGGCAACTGGGGATATACCTAGGAGAGTAAAGTTCTTGCCCTGTAGGAGTTTAAATTCTAAGAGAAGAGACAAACAATGTGTAAAGATACAAGGAAGACATGTAGTAAGCTACACAGTGATAGTAGTTTGAAGGACAATGACACAGGGAGAGTGGGAGCGTAGGCTCGCAGTATTTTAAAGGACAGGTCCAGCTGAGAAGGTGGCCGTGCGCAGCCTGGAAAGTGGTAGGGGCGAGCCAGGCCGATGTTCCAGGGGAGAACTCCCCTGCCGCGGGCTCAGCCCTGCTCCTGAGGCAGCGAGTCCGGCTGGCATGGCTAGGGTGGAGCAAATGCGGAGGTGTCGGGGAGATGAGGCAGCACTGCGTCCAGTGCAGCAGTGGCCGGATGCACAGCTGGACACCGCATGAGCTCCTGTACTCCAGCCCAGACCCCCAGCCAGGCCTCTGGGCCCCGTTCCACGGCCCCAGGCCCCTGTTCATATTTCTCCAGGGTGAGTGGGAAGCAGGTGAGCAGGTGAGCTTCTGTGGGCTGTGGCCGGAAGCAGGCCCAGGACCGAGGGATGCTGAGCGCTTGCATTAGCCAAGTAGAAACCCCTGCTTGGTTTGTTCAGCCTGCTGCTTCTCTCAGTTCCATAAAAGTCAGGTGTCCCCCCATGTCAAGGTGTCAGAATGTCCCCTGAGCTCCACAGTTCTGCTCCGCACAGAGCAGTGGACAGGGTTGGACACTCGCCCATCTGCCCCACCACCAAGGCCCTGCCCTCCGTGTGCTTAGCTTTGGAGAGGGAGAGGGAACAGAAGCCTGTCCTCGCCAACCCATGCAGTGGCGACTTTGTGGGACTGAAGACTCCGGAGAAGGAGCCCTGCCTCGGCCCAGCCGGGGTAGCTGGGTGGAGCTGGGGGTGGGCAGGGAACTTCACCTCCATCCCTTGGTCTCCTCTGACCAGCATCTCCTTGCTCCTGTCTTAAAATATTTCATGGCAGTGTGAAGGATGCGACAGGTCTTTCTCCACCTTCGAAAGCGACAGCTCTTCTGAAATATTCACCAAATGTGTGTTCTGCCGGAGAGAGACCAGGGCCTCGGAGACTGCACTGTCATCAGAGGGAGAGAGCCAGGAGGACTGACGGCCACTGGGCCCTTGCAGTGACCGGGACTGCAGCCGCCTGGCACGCAGGGTGCGGGACTCCGCAGGGACCCTTCTCCGGGGCCGCTCACCAGCTGAGTGGGTGATCAGACCTGGGCAGGGACCACCCTGAGGCCCGGCTCCCATCACCAGCCACCTCCTCAGCGCCACAGCGTCCTTGGGGGGTGAACACTTTTGGTTTTCAGAGTAAATCTAGAGTCCTTTGGAAAACTAGTGTGGGTGTGAATCATAGAAGCAGTTTGCTCTTTCTAAGACTTAGTCCTGGTGCTCGTTCTGCCTCATGTCTGGAACACAGTATGGGCTCACGTCTGCAGGGTGCAGCTGTCCCATAAGGTCCCCTGGGGAATGGCACCAGCACTTCCTGAGGACCGGTTTGCCGAGTCACGTGAGGCTCCTCTGTGGACAATGCCGGTGCATTGTGGCTGGTATGGTTTGGAGACGGTTTGTCCCCTGACAGTCCATGTGCTGGAAACCTGGTCCTCGCTGCAATGCTACCAATAGGTGGGGAAACCTCTATAGGGTGAAGATGGAGGATGATTAAGTCATGGGGCAGTAGGAGCACCCTGGCAAGGTACTAATGCCCCTCTCTTGGGAATGGGTTAGGTATCAAGAGACTGTGTTAGTTTCCTCAAGAGCAGATTGTTATAAAGTTGGGTCGTCCACATGCTTGGTTTCTTCTGCGTGTGCTGCTTGCTGTCCTTATACATGCTTCTGCTATGGGATGCCATCTGCCACGTTATGACACAGCATGAGGCACTCATCACATGAGGCCACCTGATCTTGAACTTTCTCACCCCCAGATCCATAAGCTTGATAACCTTTTTTTTATGAAGTACCCAGCCTTGGGCATTTTATCATAGCAACAGGAAACCGACTAAGACACATAGGACTCATGCTATCACTATTTGGACTCTGTAATCAGATAGAAAGAGGGAGATTTTCAGACTGTTATAAAGTTAACATCAAAAAACTATAGTTGGAAGAGCAATTCCTGGAGTCAAAAGTCCTGTTCATTGCAAGCTCTGTCCAAGTTTTTTTATCCATAACAATGAGGATTGGAATAGAATCATCGCTAAGACTGTCCTAACTAGTGTTACATGATTTTAAAAAGAATCTTATGTAATCCCAGCACTCAGGAGGCTGAGGCAGGAGAATCATTGCAAGTTTGAGACCAGCCTGGGCTACAAAGTGAGCTCAAGGCCAGCCTGAACTGCATAGCGAGACCCTGTCTCAAAAAGACCAAAACAAACAAACAAAAAAACCAAAACAAACAAACAAAAAACCCCACAAAACACAAAACTTAAATGCTTATTAGTCAAATGGCATTTTATTCACACACTCAAAGATCTACTTCTTTGAATCTGCACTTGAATTTAGTTACCAAAGTGCAGAGCTCCAATTCTCAGTCCTGCAGGCCAGTGTTGCCAACATCAGGGCCCTAATTAAGGAGCAGGACCCCAGCACTTGCACTGTGGGTAGATGCACTGATGTGTTAGAAAAGCTTGACTCTTACCTGTCACCTGACGAACGGTAAAGAAAATGTGACTTGCACACACAACAGAGTACTATTCAGCCATGAGGAGGGATGAGATCCTGTCATTTGCAGCAAAATGGATGGACATGGAGACCATCACGTTAGGGGAAATAAAGCAGTACCACATGTTCATATTCTCACATGGGAAAGATAAAAAACAAAAAGTCAACCTGACAGTAGCAGAGTGACTACCAGTGGCTGGGGAGGTTGAGGGAAGCGTGCATCCAGGCAGGCTGGGTTTGATCAGAGTATGCTGCCTGTGTGCACTGAAACACTGCCTACAACTCACAGAAGTACAGAAATGGGGTCCTTAGGGTTTCCTATCATGAGAAATGAAGAGCTCCCCTTTCAACCCCAGATCCCTGGGTAAGAATTAACCTCACCTCATAAGTACCACTGCTTTCTTTTCTTCTTTTTTTCTATTTTGAGACAGGGTCTCACTAGGTAGTTCAAGCTAGCTTTGAACTTACTACGTAGCCCAGACTGGCCTCAAACTCGTGATGATCCTCCTGCCTCAGCCTGTTGAGTGCTGGGTTTACAGGAGTGCACCACCAAGCCTGGCCAACACTTTTCTTAAGAGCATCTTTTTCATGTTAAACCAGAAGGCTCAAAATTGAACAACTGGCTAAGAGTGGTGGCACATGCCTGTAATCCCAGCACCCTGGAGACTGAGGCAGGAGGAGCCTCGCAAATTGAAGCCAGCCTAGGCTAGTTACATAGTGAACTCAAGGTCAGCCTGGACTGTATAGTGAGGCACTGTCTCAAAAAAAAAGGGAGGGGGGGGTTGAATTGAATCAAACTCACAAAATAAATTCCATTTATTTTTAAAACATGGTTAGTATCTATTTACTTATGTATATTTAGTTAATATTTAGTTCTTTACTTGCAATACTGGGAATTGAACCCAGGGTCTTTCCATTGAGCTACATGCCCAGCCCTTTTTTATTTTTTATTCTGACAGTAGATCTTGCTAAATCACTAAATTGCTCAGGTTGAGTTTGAACTTGTGACCCTCCTACCTCAGCCTCCTGGATTGCTGGGATTACTGGCATGCACCACCACATCCATGAATAGCACTTTGGAGAAGCGTCTGAGCAACATCAAGGACAGTGCATGTTTAAAATCTTTGTGTAGCAGAAAATGCGCCCTCCTCCCGCCAGTATACTTCAATTTCTGTTAGTTGCCCAGGTAATACTTCCTGTTACAGTTCCTGCTACTTCTGTTTCTTAGAAATGGCTGGTCACCCTGATGCATAGCTGGTCACTATCATGCATATTGTAAGAACCAATCAAAGATAGCCAAGTACTCTATCTCTGTACTTCCCCTTTGCAACCCCATAAAAACCTCTCTCCCTGGGCCTTCGAGGCCTGACACTTTTTCTAGAGGTCATTGCCCACTGATGTAAGTAAATCTGCCTCCAAATACTTGGTGAAGTTTTCACTGTTTCTGTTTGCCATTGCATTTGTAATGTTAAAATGACCAGGCATTAGAAAATGTGACAAGACTTCTGCGAAGGTGGTAGACTAGTAAGCAGCAGAGAAAGAGCCTCTCTGAGATTTGGTGTCCAGACTCTGGAATATAGCAACACAAGGAAGAGAAAAAGGAGGGAAGTGAGTCCCTTGGACCCAGGAAGGATCTGAAGCAAGAACTGAAGCTCACAGGGGAGCAAAGAGAGAAAGTACAATGAAGAAGAAGGAGGTGGTAGGAGGTGCTTGCTCCCTGAGTCAAGACTCAGTGTGTGAGAGGAGTGATCAGACCTGAACATGCACGGTGACTGCTGGCAACACCAGAGGCCTCCACAGAGAGGTGCAGCAGTGCAGTGGAGCAGTGGGTGCCATGGACTGCACCGGCTGATGAGTGGCATATATTTGGCCATCCCCAAGGAGAAGGTGATTGGCCAGGAGCTGTCTTGGAGAGGGGCCAACTAAGCCCAGAATTCAGAACAGCTGCTGTCTCCATGTAGCGGTTCCCAGCTAAGTTCAAGCTC